ATGTGGGATGGAGCTGCAAGGGGCTTGTCTGCGGGGGGGGGCTCCTGCCACTGCATGCACCTTGGGAGGGCATGTGGGGGCATGTGCCTCTGGATCTGTGTGAAGGGCAAGAGTGGGTTGCTGCTGTGGGCTGGGGATGTGCCTGGCACTTCCCAGCACTGGGCTGAGCCAGGCTGCACTCGGGGCAGGCAGTGGTGGCAGTACTGGGAGGGTGCTGGGGGCGCTGCAGCCACCCCAAAATTTGCTGTAGCTCCCTCTTAGCACCTTCTCCCAGCACCACTGCTGCCCGCTCCAAGCGCAGCCCAGCCCAGCCCCCCACCAGGAAGAGCTTGGCACCGCCCCAGCCCCAGCCCCAGCATGCATTGGCAGTCCACCCTCACCCTGTGCGCAGATCCAGGGGCCCGCACCCCCCATGCCCTCCTGGGGTGCACGCAGCAGTGGGAGTCGCTCTCTCCTCCCCTGGATGAGCTGCTCGCGGCTCTGTCCTGTCCCAGCAGGGCAACAGCTGTCCCTACCCCGGCCCCAGCCCCACTCCCTCCCTCCCTCGCTGTGGGAGCCTCCATCTGCCCCTCCCCCACACCCCTTCTCTCCCCGCCTTTCTCTCACAGGATTTCAGTTTTGATGAACTAACCTTTCATTGTGAGGGGTGATTTAGTCAGGAAATTCCTAACAAGCCCGTATCAAAAGGAGCCTTTTGGGCCTTAAAACGAAGAATGTAGCCACGGGGTGGCGCGCCAGGGACACACCAGGGACCACAGCCCTTCAGCTCCTCAGACATGAATGGGCTGCCCTGTTCTCGGTTCGCCTTGTCACCGGCTGACAAATGTCCACCCTACAAAATAAGCAGGAGCAAATGCACTTGCTAAATACGTTGCGTTATTTTCAAGCTCGGGAATACAACGCCGTCTCTTCAGAGACATTTCCGTCTTGGCGCTGCCTACGTGCGGTTGAATGTACTTGCGCTTAGAAACGTCTGCTTTTATTCAGACATACAACAAACTAGAAGTCTTGATTTGATTCGGCAAACTGATCTGAGCCGGCAAAGCCACGGGCAGAAATGCACCTGGCCCGGACTGCTTGGGGAGCACATCTCCCCGAGGGGGCTTCCCCCGACAGTCAGCTGAGCAGACAGACCCGGATCCCCCGGCTTCTGCCTAACTTGTCCGGCAGCCCAGAAAACACGTGTATTGCTCCTGCAGAGAGCTCAGTGCGGGAGGAGTACCCGCCAGCGAGACGTGCCGGCACCGAGCCCCGCCACCCCGGCACGGAGTGTCCCCAGGGAGCAAAGCCTCCCAGCCGTCCCGGGCCCGGGAGGAAAGCCTGAGGCTGCGGGCGGCGCCCGGGACACGCGGCTCCCCCTCCGGGCCCGGGGCCCGCGCGCAGCCAGCCCAGCCCAGCCCGAGCCGCCGGGCAGCCGCGAGCATGAAGGACCGCACCGGGGAGCTCCGCGCGGTGAGTGCCCGCGCCCGGTCCGCGCGTGTCTAGGGGTCCGTCATCCCGGGAGAGCCAAGGACGTGTGCGTGTGTGTGTGTGTGTGTTTCTAGGGGTCAGTCATCCCTGGGGAGCTGAGGGTGTGCGTGCGTGTGTGTGTAAGCTGGACCTGTGTGCGCACGTGTGTGTCTAGGGGTCCATCATCCCTGGGGAGCTGAGGGTGTGTGTGTGTGCGTGCACGGTGTGTCTAGGGGCTCTCTCGTCCCTGGAGGGCTCGAGGACGCGGTGTGTAAGCTGGACTTGCTTGTGTATGTGTGTCTAGGGGCCTGTCATCCTTGGGGAGCTGAGGACGTGTGTGTAGGCTGGACCTCTGTGTGTGTGTGTGTGTGTGTGTGCGCGCACATGTATGTGTCTTGGGGTCCGTCATCCCTGGGGAGCTGAGGAGGTGTGTGTGTGTGTGTGTGAGATAAGTTGTGTTTCCCCTGCCAGGTTTCTGGGTCCATGAAGGCAGTTTTCCTTAAGCTCCCCCGGGGATAACTTCTTCTGGCATGGTTTAGTACCCATTGAGGTGTTGGGGCTCAAAACCCACTTTATGGAAATGGGAGGCTCCTCCCCAGCTTGCTCCTGCGGCCATATGGCTGAGGGCAGGCGAAACTCGGGTGGCATCTGAACCCCAAGCCTCCGGGGATTCCTGCCAAAAGAAGTTGGAAATATCTGAAGCCCCTGGCGGGGGTGGAGGATGTTTGCTGGTTGTAGGGCCACTCAGTGGCGATGCACAGGGGGTGAACGGGAGTACATGTGCACCCCCTGAGAGCACTGGTGCACCCCCTGACAACAGCGTTCCCTGCTTAGGCAATGGGCAGGGGGGCAGGCGAGACACTGGTGCTGCCCCTGCGAGTGCCAGCCGGGGCGTGAGGGTGCCAAGAGAAGTGATCCCTGCAGTCCCTCTGCACCTGATCGTGCCAACTGGGGGGAGGTTTCCCCTGCGGCCGATTGCGCGGACTGTGGCACTTCCGGGTCAGCGCGATTGGCCACAGGGGAACTCCCCCCGGTCGCTGACTGGGCGCCCCGCCCACCCCCCCCCCCCCCCACCCCCCCCCCCGACTCAGGAGGCACCAGTTGCCTACTTATGGTTCTGAACTAACTCATGAATTTGGACTTGATTTGACTTGAAACATGAAAAATTTCTTAAAAAACAAACAAACAAGTGTGTGTGTGTGGAGAGGTCAGTTGCCCCCTGGTTTGCAGAGCTGGGCGGGTGTTGCGCAGCCCTGGCCATGGGGTAGCAGTGGGGCTGTGCACTGCCCTTCATGGGAAGTTGGGAGTGGTGCATGGGAATATGGCCCCACTGCTCTGGGGAAGGCAATGGAGGAGGTTTGTGAGGGAGCAGAGCCAGCTGAAGCCACACTGAAGCTCTCTCTTGGGCCAAAGCTGGGGAAGAGAGTGCGTGCGTGTGCTGGGCGGGTTTGGGACTAGCTGGATGGGGGTGAACCCTGCCTGGGAGAGGGGTTCAGCACATGTGGGGGGCGCATATGCTGGCCACGCAGAGGAGCTTGCAGGGTTGTGTCTGTGCTTAGAGGCAATCTGAGGTTCCTGCCGCACGCACTTTGAGGCGGTAGAGCTCGGCATGGCAATAAGTATTATTAAATGTGACACGTTGCGCGCCCCCGGGGGAGCTGGTTGTGTGAGTGGATGTGACGTGCTCACTGATGGGAGAAGGAGGCCATTGTGCGAGTGGGCTGGACGCTCTGGGTTTGTTTTGACTTAAATAAAAGGTCTTCCCCTCCCTCATGTGGGGAACAAGGTCAGGAATAACTTTGTAAGTTTTGACAAGCTGCAGGGTGGAGAGAAGAGGTGGGAGCCTGTGTGGGTCTGACGCATAAATGCTGGGACTGTGCAAATGGTCCCCCTGGGGGAGGTTGTGCAAAGAAGTGGGGAGAATGTGTATGTAGGCCTGACAAATCTTCCCAGGAGGCTTGCTGTGACTGGCTGAACAAAGGTTCAGGTGAGTGTAACTTGACAGCAGGTTGTAGGATCAGAGGCAGACAGAGAAGTTGACAAGTGTATTCTTGTCCCTGAGCCCTCCTCTGAAGCCTCTTAATACAGATTTCCATAGGGATTTCCATAGCTGGTTTATGCCAATTTGAATATAATGCTCTGAGCCAGATCTTGTTTCAAGATGTCTTTAATCAAGGGACTAAGTTTTGCAGTAAGTACACGTCTTGGGATATTCCTGTGTTTGCTGGAGTGGGGGATGGGTGTGTCATTTTGGAACCATCAAAATGCAGGCACAGGTAGCTTGTGGAAGAGCTTAATTCTTGTCTCTCTGTCTCTCTGTCATTTCTGTAATTTGACTGCGCTCACTTGTTCCATCTTATCGTATAGCATTCCGCCCTGCAGCTGGAAGTGAA